CATTCAATCGACTTTTGTGATACCATAGATTAAACAGTTTTTAAAACTCATTGAAAGGTTCGGTTTTACTTCTATCATTCAAAACAATTTTTATTTAAATCACTAAGTCAATAATATTCATAGCAAACATCCAGTTAGAATAATTACACGAGTTACACTGTGATTAATCTTTTTTTTTTATAGAATCATCCATATTTAAGAATTACTGCATAATTTGCTTCATATATTTTTTTATATTATATAGAAACTGCATCAAAATATGGACCTTGATTATAACTCATACACTGCCATAGATAATTTATAGTTTCTCATTCAGCGCAAAAAAAAAGAAAAAAAAAAAAAAGAAATCGACTATAATGATCTTATAAATAGAAGATAAATAATAATAAAAGTCTGAACAAGGCAACGTCAAAAAGAATTAACTTAAAACTTTTAAATTTATGAATGATTAAAAGTGCGGCTCAAACTCAGTAACGCCTAGCAGGAGGTCGTATAGACAGGCCCTCTCAACACCTATTTGTGTTCACAACAATTCTTTTATTTGGATTCCAGGGACAGATAGATTATAGGAGTAACGAAGTCCAGCACAGATAAAATCATCAATTTTTTGTACACTTATGTTTTTATTATTCTTAATTATGTACATACGTAACTTATATGTAAACGTATACATTTCTAAGTTCATTTTTGGTCGAAGATTTTTTTTAATTCATCATGTGGAGTCTTTACTGCCTAAGTACATACTTATTAAATATCTATACATATAGGTCGTCATTTCATGTAAGTAGATGCGACTTTGCCTTGGAATGAGGTTTTAAAAATTCTATTGAAGGCAGTCAAATTATCCTTGAAATAACTCATTCCTGTTAATTTTGTAAACATGACTCATATTCATATATTTCTCGTTAAATTATTTTTGTTCCGAGTGACGGACAATGACAGTTTTATTGACAACAAACTAAGAAGATCAAATTGTTCAATGGATTTTTGTTCCATTTTAGTGAAAACATAAATAAATATGCATGTTCATTATACATACATTATATATTGTAATTAAAACTGCTTGTGCTCCCGAATATTTTCGTAAATAGTCAGTTACGCAATTTCTGAATATTATGTGTTATTTTTTTTCTTAATCCGACATATTTAAAAGACATTTTTAATCTCTTTTTTTTTATTATTATCGAAATTTAAAACTGTATTAAATGATAAATACAACAAGTACCATGACATGTACAACATGAAGAGAATCTACCCAATAGTAGCACTCCAATTATATTTCTATATTAGAAGGTCCTCAGGCCATCTTCTTTTCATACGTCTTGGAGGGTCATCAGGAATAGAAGAGGAAGCAAGGTTGAAAACAAGAGGGTTCCGATGGTTCAGAAGTTTACTATGGAACGATAGGTATCCCCAAAGCTCGATCCCGTTAGTCCAAATAGGCCTTATTATAGTAATATATATGAGTCTTTTGTAAATAGTAGGAAGCTTAGAGCGTTTGTCTAGTAAGAGCTGCAGTAGCCGAAAACGTCGGGCGGTTTCTAGTCGTTTCAGTCTGGTATGGAGGTCAAATCTCAAATATTCATATGTTTATAATTATGGTGTCAAGTGTGATTCAGAACCGATTGTTTAATTTATTATTTTCTTTAATGTATATATTAAATTAATAGAGTTCATTTGTGGAATGATAGTAAAAAGATGAAGAAAAAATATATACAATATCTTTGAAAGAAAGGTTATGTACGAAAAAAAAAAAATAGATATTTATAGTTGCTTTTCGTCTGCACATCTTGATTCCTAGACTACCCTACCAGTTGCCTGATGAATATAAATTCGATATCCTGTAAGATGGAACCTAAACTATAAAGCTTGACTTCCCTTCAAGTTTATAACTTGTGACGGTGTTTACTTACTTTGCAGAGGCAGTCAGCACACGCGAAGGGAACTCTCAGACTTACATAACACAGCTATAACAATGGTGAGAACGAAATAAAAAATGGTTTCCAGGTCTGGAATAGCAACCTTGTAACATTGTGTGTATAAGGAGGAGTGTAAATTCGCTGTAGTTTAGCACCTCAACAGCAAACATTAGCATTTAATCTTTGCTGTTTGCCTATTTCAGTTGCTAATTGTAAATGATGGTTGTGCTCCTTTCCTACGCATCTAATGATATAATCTGTTGGCATAATATAGAGGAACGTCCGATTAATGGCAAATATTTTGGAAATACTTCTATATTATTGATAGTATAATAACGATGCGAATGATTAATAGTATACATGATTTTGAGAACTATTAATTAATAGAGAATAACAAAATGGTAATACGAAAAATAAATATATATAAACGAAATGAAACTTAAACTAATCAAAATAACAAGTTAAATACAGGAAATTAGTAAGACTAAAACAAATATTTAAGAATATATTAAGTTCCTAATGTTGAATATGAACTTTCTTTATTGAAGTTTATTTTAATGCATTTTAAATAGCTGAGATCTATTGTTTTCCCGCTCGGTAACTTGTTTATTTATGGGTTTAAAGTTAAATCCAACCTTCTGTTTTTTTGTTAGCTCAATATTATAAGATTAATTATTATTTGTTATTCAATAATTTAAGATCCCTAAATTTTTTGCGTACTAAGCGTTTGATATCTGTGATCTCTTCTTATCTAAATAACTCAACTCTTGGCCATTGTAGTAAAATATAATAATTTTCCTAATAATCTTATTAGACTAAACTAGTTTTTTTTTTACTTTCACCTGTTCCGAAATACCATTAAAAAATAATAAATTGGACAAATCGTTTACAGTTATGGAATGGTTAAACTATATTGGAACTATCACAGTTATAAAATTTTCAAAGTTAAATATGAGGCATTACCAAATCGGAACATACTTTGCCAAACTGAAACCACAAATTGATGCTAGGAATATTCCATTACGTTGGGAACTTGCGCCACAAAAACTAAAATGGTAACTGCAACTCTCCCATTTGGGAAGAATATTCCCGTTGGGATCATATTTTTGTCCCAGTGCAAATCATAGCAAATAATTTTAAAAATGGATGTAGGTTTCTGGAAATATTATGGTGCAACAACTTCATTTTATTAAGGCAATAGAAACCGGAATATCAGAAAGTGAGGCTTATCCGTAATCAGGTCTTGAAACAACCGCACAAGTTCTTCTAATCAGACGTACATATATCATAAAACTATGTTAATTGTTGTTTTCAAATATGACCATGTTTAGTCATTACTTCGCCACAGAAGTCTGGATTAGCTTTAACAAGAATTATAATTCAATTCACATCATAAGGGTATCCTCAGTTGATCTCGGGGCAAAATAATACCTTATCATTATTTTATTTTATTGGACAACAATATTAATAAATGAAAATATTTCAAGATTTTATTAAAAATGAAACTAGTAAGCACTAATACGATTATAATAAAAAATAATATTCACAGCGCTTCTGTCCAGTGTTACCGCGCGCTCAGTGACAAATCCTTGTACTCGAGCTTCGTACATCCTCGTACACTTGCTCATTCATAGCCCAGTGTTATTGTTTTTTTTTTATAGTAAAATTAGATCAGAGATTTTTATTTTTACTTCTATTTATATATTTTAAAGCCTTTTTACATTACTTTTTTTTAACTTAATGGGTCAAGAAGTAAAATTAGCTTAATAATATACATAAAAATGTTTATATATTTTTAGAAACTACTAGAAACTTTATATAAAATTTAAAATAGAATAATAAACTTTTCATAGTACTCTTCATTAATATCCATTAGTAGATCCAAGATTTTATTTCCATTTATCCATTTAATTTCCATAATCCAAGATGAAGGAGGGACTCATTTTTTTTCTTTCTAAAAAACAAAACAACTTCTTTTATAGAAGGATGTTAGTGGTTCTTGAAGGATAAAAAAAGTAATTATTGGGAAATTAGTGCTCTTAGAGACATCCATTATAATATTAAATATGAATATATTGTGATTGTTTCAGTATTTAGCTTACAATTAGATCTCGCACAAAACAAATGTGGACCACTAAAAAAATTATTTTTTTTTCAATATTAAAGATGGTTTCATTCATTCATATATTGATACATCTTGGGGTGAATTAATAATAGTTAATTTTTTAACGAAAATATTTTTAAAAAAATTGATTTATCTAGAATATATTTACAGTTGTAGTTTTATAAAGGAAATAATGGATATACTTTCTCGTATTTTATTTTATACTCTATAAAAATTACGCTAAAAATTTTTTTAAAATTTTCTTTCACAACATATTTTAAAAAATATGTATTTACGAAAAAGTTTTACGACTGAAATAATGGGTATAGTTTCTTATATTTTATTTTATACTCGATGAAAATCTAAAATATTTTTTTAAAATTTTGTTATCTAGAAAATAAAAAAAAATATATATTCAATCATGGTTTTATGAAGGAAATAATAATCATACTCTAATTAAAGGAGATATAATTGCAATTTATTTGTACACTAAAAAAAGTTGAGTATTTCATATCAATATAAATAATAATACAGTAAAAATAATTGTAAAATAATTCTAAACTTCATTCATAAAAATATAACCTTGCATACTTTAACAAATATTATGTACTAGTTACGAGGGTGGTCGATAGTCGTACCTCGCACATTATGTCATAACCTCCTGCAAATACGAGAATCCTGGTACAAACGGCAACACTGCTTCTGTCACTTTTTTACACGAATAAATGAAGCCCGACAAAGTGATCCGGCCAGCTGTATTGTTGGATAATAAAGTGTTCTATAAAATAACTGAAAAATCAGCGAAGTCGCTTAAAAATTGAACGAGTTATACATATTCGAAATCAAGATGTTAACCACTCCGTCGAAGACTTGTATAGTGATCATTCAAAATTTAGAGAGAACGTCTAGAAGAATCGGAATAATGCGTGCAGACGGATGGAAAAATCGATAAGTACTTAAGATCGATAAGTAACCAAATGGATCAATGCACCTTTAAAGCCAAGTTATTCGTCACGGCGAACGAAAGTGGACGTGTGAAGGCAACGCTCCAATCACTACTGGGAATTTTAAGAGGTTCGTGAGAATTTACTTAAAATGTGCAGTCCGTCTTGTGAATCCAACGCAAATTAAATGTCCAATGCGTATCGGTTGTTTTTATATTGTAAAGTTTAATGACTTTATGTTCTTCAAACGAGATGGGGAAGGATATGAGTGACCCGGTAGGTAGTTAATCTCTTCATCACTGAATAAAGGACGATGTTCAGCTCAATTCAGCCAATAGATTCAGATTAAATGTAAAATTATCAGTAGAAAAAGGCTTATTTAGTCTCAATAATTAAAATACTTTATTTTAAATTTATCGATAAATTTAAAATAAGTATTTTATTATTGATACTAATTAAGCCTTTTTCAACTGATAATTATTACAGACTCTTTTCCGAGATCATCTTTTATGTAAAATTGCCTTTATTTCGTTATTGAATATATTTAGTGATTGGAAGTTTTGAGTTCTTCTTTCTCCTCCCTTTCAAAGATATTGAAATCCCGAAAAATCTTAGATTATGGGCGCACAATGCCATGAAAGAAACAGCAAATCTTACTAGCACCTTAAAATGATGTACTGGAAAATTTGATTTACTAAATATTCTTTTATCATAAATGTTGCGATAAATTTATCATGATCATGAAATTAAAATTACACCCATTATGTTAATTAGACAACGATTTTTTCAGCACAGCATAGAGATTTTATGAACCGATTTCGATTATGTATACAAATTTTAGCATAGCAGAATAGTTAGCCAACAGACAAATATATATATATATATATATTTCTACTGTACTGCACGCCTCAGAAATTTTGACATTTCTTTAAAAGCTTGTTCCACTTACCTCATACACATACTCATAGCTAGGCTGAAGAGAATGCAGAACTGATGGATTAATCTCCAATCAAAGAAGCCGGATGAATTGCGAAGGAAATACTATGAAAGAGTTGTTAATAGAACTGGCTTTCATCTTGAGAATCTCTATGCCTCGTGGTTTGCTCCTCTCTACAGAATCTGAGCAGTGTTGGCTTTAGGGATGTCTTTGAATATGCAAGTTCCTATTGGCTGCTGAACATTAAGAATGACTTCATGGAAATATATAGAAATAATCTCATTTCTGTATATGTAAAGCGCTTACTTGGCTCTAGTTACACACTGTACTGTTATCTAAGCTACTGAGTTGCTGGTGAGGAATATGTGAAATTATAGGTGCCTATACAATGAAAGAGGGTCATCTGCTCTGACAGAGGAATGCAAGTTGCACTTTTGCTTTGTAGGTGTCTCTTTACGGAATCAACACTGAGCTGGATTGCACTATATGCATGTTAAGAGAATCTGAGGCACTTGCTTATATATTTATAGTCTGAATAGGTGGCTTTCAGGACATGAAATGATGAACATAGGCTAGCACATTTACTTTAATCAGGTGGAAATTACTCAATATTCAAAATCATTCGGTTCCTTAGCGATGCTGTCAATATTGTGCATTTATATTGTATAAATAGCGAAACTTCTACCGACTGTGATTTTATTATTTATGATGCTTTAATAAACTGTATAACATAGGAGAATTTCCTAGAGGATTCTGGGCTAGGATCCCAACTTGTAATCCTATTAGAATATACCAATACAGTAAATATTTTATTATATCTTTGTAATGCATGTGTCATTATAATTTTTTGGTATTACTTATTTATTACTTTAATGCGCACTATATTAATAATATTAATTATTAGTTATGTGTAAAATGTATTCCATTTTTATCAAATTATTAACATCCAACTTAAACTTTGTGAATGACTTCATCTTATTGTAATCTACAACTGTTTTATCCGTGAAAATTCTCAGAAATCATTTATCTTTCTAATTACATTAATTAATTTGCTTTCATCTTGAATAGAATCATTCGATTCGATCACAAAATCGAGAAAAATGTGGCCTACAAAAATGTTGGGCCATTTTGTCAATATAGCCAAATGACGGTTATTTTGACAGTGTTCATGAGTTTTTAGTACCTCATTTAATAAACAAAGTTTGCCGATCTCCAGATCGGTTTGTAATAGGTTGAAGGTTATAATAAGATGAAGCTGTTACGAAGGTTTAGACGAATGTTAATAATTAGCTAAAAAGGAATTTGTACTGCGGACAGAATACCTGTAAATGTCCTGTAAAACAGTATATCTTCTATCTTTCAACCGACATTTCTAAATATCTCCAATATCTTAAGTCCTTGTCATGTAAATTTATTGTACCATTAAGTCCAGAAGCGGAAGAACAATATGAGCAAATACAGTCGGAAGCGGTGGACCGCACCCATTACGAAACCCGGACACTGAGGTCCTTGTGGGGCAATGCCACCTGGAGTGGACCTCACCTTTCTACCTCGCTGCCACAGCTGAGTCACTGTCCAAACCTACCACTGTGGCTGTCAGGTCGTCGATGGGCAACACACCCAGTCAGCGATCTATATTGCTTTGCATTTAGTTGCAGTTTATTTTTATCTGACGTTAATGGACATTGGAGGCGTTGGAATGGCAGTCTCCGCCTCACTGCGGTATTTTATTTAATGGATGGCTGTTCTGGATTTGAATCGTAAAACAAAATCAAGGTCATAAACAGGTTGGAGGGCGGGGTGGCCGAGCAGGTTAACGCATTTGCAATACTCGCGTTGCCTGGCAAACTGATCACCTGAAGACTAAGAGTTCGAGTCCCGGAACTGGGGGTATTTAACTCTGGCATTAATCCCCCGTCCTCTCACCCGACCCGGGAATAAACCCACATAGTCGAAAAGACGATGTAGAGGAGGGAAAAAACAACAGAAAGTTAATCTTTTTTAATGCGGTTATTGGAAGATAAAAAAACAAAAAAAAAAAAACAGTCTAACTTTGACTATCTATTCTAATATTAAGGCTCAGCGGACTTTACGCAAAGAGACGATTTTATACTATATCTATTCATTTGCCACATTTTATCAAACACAATAAAGTTCACCAAAACTAGTTGTACTCTTTTCTTAACAAAGGTTTTTAACTTTTAAAAACAGTTTACAGATATTGCCAAATCGTATGTTATTGGGTTCCATAAGCGGGAACGTTATACTTGGACTAAAGCCCAGTATTATCTATTTATTTTATATATTTTTTAGCGTTATTATTTACCCAGTTTTTGACAATGTAACACAAAATGCACCAAATCGATCAACTTACAAACATGCAATAAACTCACTACTTTAAGAGTTTAGTTTTAAATAATAAAAAAGTGTTTAAAAATATTTTTTATAATTACATACATGCAATTTTATGTAATTATATTTTATTTACACCGATGTACCAACTCACTGATACAAGTCAAGGCCACAATCAATAAATTGAGAGGCTCAAAAGAAGCTGGATGAGATGCAATATAAAATAAAAACTAAATTAATCGCATTAATCCCACACATACAAACACGTTTTATATCTTATGATTTTAATTTATTAATTTGTGTGAAAGAATTTGTTGCTGCTTATTAGTCAATAATTATTAAATAATTAAGTTGTCGAAAATGAACTGGATTATTCAGGAGTTAGGTTTTTGTCATTTTAGAAGTGTGTTGAGTCCGTTTAGAAATAGAAATAGAAACAAAAAATCATCTTTATTCTGGGACTAGGTCCCTTAAGAATAACAGTATTGTTCACATAAATTAACAATAAATCTGGCCAAAAGATCTATTACGTTTACGTGGATACATTTCAGTGGTGATTTCTTATCATAGTATCTTGTTGTTTATAGCAACACTTATAACCTTTTACAAATTGTTTGTATACAAATATGTGTGACTGTTTTAAATATAAGAATAAATAAATGATGAATTTATGAATATCGTTGATTGTCCTATTTGTGTTTACAGAGCCTCTTGTTGCTGCTCGCATCATCGATATGTGAGGGCTCACCTCCTAGTGGGGGGTACGGCTACCATCCGAAACCCCAACCGTTCTTGCCGGCACCTCCAGGTGAGACGCCATCCTGTGCCAAGCATGGGAGGACTTACTGCGAGTACATCGAAAACTATCCAACGTGAGTACTTTAAGCTCATTCTGTATGAAAGTACAAGAGGCTAGTTCGTGTAATTATACGATTTTTTATAAGTTCTTAACTCCTATTGAATCAATTACAAAACCAAAGTTTCTTTAATAATGATTTAAAAAAAAATATTTAATCAGCCGAGTTTCACATTTAAAAAAAAAAAAACTCGTTAAATTACAACCAATATGGCTTGAGAAATGCTTTTTTAAAAGCCAATTTTAAATTTAATGTTAAAGTTAAAGTTAAGTTTAAAGTTTTTTAAAAATGCTTTTATTTTATAGTTATTTTCAAAATCTTAAAACACTTCATATAAAAAAAAAACCTAGCGCTGTTTTTATTTTGTTACTAATTGCTACTTATTTTATGTGAGGATGAAGACTTTACAGAAAACGCATGCTTCTTTTCTTTATATTTGGCTTGCATGATTAAAAAACAAAATGGGATTAGCTTTATATTGTTAGCTGATCTTGTAATTTGTTAGGATGGCCTTTATATTTATAAATTTGAAAACATATTTTTTAATTCAGGATTGGCATTTCATGTATGACTTAGTGTAACAGAATTAAGATCGCGATATATTTTTTTCTAATTAACGCTCTTAAGAAGCTATTAATAAGCGAATAGCAGAAAACGAGACGTGCAAGTAGAAATTAGTATCAACAACGAAAATGGAGCAAAACGGTAGGATTATCAATTGAAAAATAAATAAAAGGGATGCGAATAGATAGATAGGAGGGAATTACCTGGAGAAGGAGACCGGAAGAGGTCAGTAGAAGCCACTCGTAAGTAGACTAGAAGAAGTGCCAAGGAAAGAAGGATGAACTTTCTGCTGGGAAGACGAAGAAGACATTCACAAAGATGCATGGAGTTATATAAGGATATAACAAATCCTTATATTGTTTTATCCCCAAATAGATCTTCTTTGATCAGTTCAAGATTTTTGGTATTTTACTTGCTTTCCACCATCTAGATACAAATAGTGAATTGGTGACACGATACTCCTGTAAAGGATATCTTATATGAACTATAATTCACTCTAATATATCACCGCATGTCTAAATGTCTAAATATATAATTAATATAATTTTAAACAGATCACTTCCCTTTTGGAACCGAAAGAAATAGAAATATATTAAGTAGATATATAATAATTACACGTGAATGTTTTTGGTACCCAAACTCGCCTTAGGAAAGCGGATAACAAGGAGCGTGGCATTATTATTGTTTTTTAAAAAAAAATTGCTGGATATTTACTGCTCTTTTCTAAGATTAAAAATGTGGAGGATATATCGAAACATTTTTTGTAGAAATCGAATTAATATATCTATATATATATTTAATCACTGATTTTATCGATTTGATATATATTTATATTTTTATCACTGGAATCTCATAAGGCTTCCTCGGGATTCTATTCTAATCCATCCGAAGAAGGTGCTCTAATCGTCTTAACATGTGTTCCTTCAAAAAAGTAGGATTTCTGCAGGTTTGACCTCGAGGTTGGCTCAGACGATGGTATTGCGAATACCGTCTCGCCTGATTTTTCTCTCTGATTTCTGCCGATATTGTGTCATATATTTCGAAATAAATAACATCATCTTATAACATTAACTCTTTAGGACTGAATTAAGGTCAGGATATCATAAATAGTTATCAAATGCCGTTAACTCCACTTAAAAGCAAATATTCGCTCGAAATTAGATGCCCAGCAAATTATGATGGCTGATAAAAATTACTTGAAAGCCTAAAAGTAGTTTATTTGAAAACTCAAAATTAACTATTTCATTGATTATTTCACCTATATTCTGTTGTCTTGGAGATAATTTATTTTTTTCAAATGAGTGGCTGTTTTTAAGGAAACAAAGAAATGGTATTACAGTTATGTAAACAACAATTTTTACTTTCACTTAACTATATATGATGACTTTTATTTCTCCAACATTTCCCCGACTGACTTACTAACCGCAGTAATGAAATCCCTCACCAATTCCATAGGACCAGATGGCATTCCTGTCAAATTGATAAAATTATGTCTCCCCGAAGTCCTCCCAGTTCTCCTTTTCATTTATAATTTCTTCCTACAGAACTCAATATTCCCTTCCTCTTGGAAAAAAGCCATTGTACTCCCTTTAAATAAAAAGCCTAATCCATCCTCTCCCGAAGACTTCCGCCCAATCTCAATTCTTTCCAATCTCTCAAAACCCCTAGAAAGATTGATGCAATCCCAAGTTTCCAATTTCCTCGAAAAGTCCAACCAACTTGATCCTCTCCAACCTGGTTTCCGTCCCGGCTACTTCACACAATCCGCCTTAATCAAAATTACCAATGATGTTCAGATTGCAATAGATAATAAACAATTAACTGTCCTTATACTTCTTGACTTCTCTAAAGCCTTCGATTCTATTAACCATCCCCTCCTTTTCAACAAACTAAAATCACTCTCCTCCAATAGCTCCATCTCTTGGTTCCAATCTTTTCTCTCACAACGCACCCAAGCAATCTCCATTCCTAATCAACCACTATCTGCCTTTATCCTCTGGAGTTGCCCAAGGATCTAGCATATCTCCTCTCCTTTTTAGTTCCTATATTAATGACCTCCAGGACTCAACTCTCCATTGTTCCCACCCTTTATACAGACGATTCTCAAATATACCTATCCTTTTCTCCCCTTGAGCTATTGGTAGCATTTACTAAGATCCAAGCAGACCTAGATCGAATCTGTGCCTGGGCAAACTTAAACGGATTAAGGTTAAATGCTTCAAATGCTAAGGCCATTTTCATTGGTTCCAAGCCCCTCCTTAGATCCTATACCGACTTTCCCATACTAAACATTGGCGACCAGCCAATCTCCTTCTACTCCTCTGTAAAAAATGTAGGACTATTTATTGATCAAACCCTCTCCTGGAGTCACCATATTTCTCACACCTTCCGACGGACAGTTTCTACCCTCAAACTATTCCATCGCTTCCGCCATCTCCTACCTCAACATACGCGTAGACTCCTCGTTTCCTCTCTCATCTTTCCCCACTTTGACTACTGCTGTGTGGTGTATGATGGACTTTCGGTGGAGCTCCGCGACAGACTGAAAAGATTAATGAACAGTTGCGTGAGATTTGTAATTGGTGCCCCGAGATACTACCATGTCTCTCACCACTACACTGAGTTAGAGTGGCTCTTCCCCTCCATTCGAAGACAATATTTCTTAGGTACATTCCTCTATCATATCATCAACAATCATCGTCCTTCCTACGCCTACATCCTTCTCCAATTCAAGTCCTCAGTCCACTCCCTCTCCACAAGATCTCGACCTTCCGACCTTTACATTCCTTCTCACAGATCTGCCTCGTTCCAAAACTCCTTTATTGCTCGTTATGTTAGTTTCTGGAATTCCCTTCCTATCAAAATTCGACATTCTTCATCCTTATCTACATTCAAAACCCTCCTATTCCAATTCCTGTCCCCAAAACAGTCAGATACCAGCTAACCTTTTATGTAAAATTACATATTATTTATAATAACATATTCAAATATAGCTCATAATCTAAATACTTATTATAGATTCGACTTTCTTTTTTTTTTTTTTCAACCGAAACACAGATTTTACTGTTAAGAAGAATTTACATTTATTTTTTCTGTATTTTTTATTTTTTTTAGAAGGGTTTATTTACATTTTAACATTGTGTATAGTTTTAAGTATCTTAGTATGGTTTCAAGAGTTTTTTATATAGACATTTTTTTTTTATTTTGTATATAGTATGTATAACCAATATTTTTTTTCATTTTTTTTAAAGATCTATCTTTATCTTAACTTTTTATGTTTGTTTTTATCTGGCCAGATAATAATAATAATAATAAGGCTTAGCGAACCCGAAGGTTCGATGCCGACACCACCAATCGCTTGTTACACACCTCCCTCCACCGTTCGCCGTCCAAACCTAGTCCCTTCAGATCGGCTTTAATGCAATCTTCCCACCTTCGCTTCGGTCTACCCCTCGGACGCTTACCATTCGGCACAGCAAATATTAACCTTTTAGGAATTCTCTCGTTACTAAGCCCAACAACTTTACAAGCCCATTTGATTCGCCGCGATGAAATTACATCAATTATATTACCCGGATACAGCTCACGCAATTCGGCGTTGTGTAACCGTCTGAACTCCCCGGTTAACTCATCCTTCTTCGGTCCGAATATTCTACGCAATACTTTATTTTCAAAAACCTTAAGACGCTGCTCATCCCTTAATGTAAGCGGCCAAGTTTCGCATCCATAAAGAACTGTAGGCAAGATAATTGTTTTATAGATTCTAATTTTTAAGTTCCGTATCTGGCCAGATATAAAATTTTAATTTCTGTACTTTTTTGTTATTCTGAAGGTACTTCGTCCCAGAATAAAATTATTTTTCTATTCTATTCTATTCCAAAGTATTGCGATCGTGCAACTTTTCGGATCTAAGTTTTCAACGGAAATACACGTTTTGAGGTCCCCTGAGTCCAAATAACCAAGTCCCACAAAATGGTCTGTTTGTGTGTATGTGCACAGTCTAGCTAGAAAAAAAGTCATAAGAAACTGATATTACGTATTTAAGGTTTGCATATAGTTCAGATGTGACTGCAACTTTTTCCTTAAAATTGGCTAATCCACTAGCGGATCCAGGATTTAATTTTGTGGGAGGCTTCAGCCCGAAAGCTTTTTTTTCATAAAAATAACGATAATTACTGTGGAAAACTAATAAAGAAACTAACTACCTATATAAAATGATGTTTAAGTGATTACTAAAGTATTTTAAATGTAATTACACGAACAATAATATTTTAAGAGATAATTTTTTAATATTTTTTTCCATAAAACATTGTAATATTTTACCATTTTGAAGCCCCGCCTCGTAGATCCATCCGTGGACTAACCGAAAGTGGCAATTTATATTAGCGGTGATACACAGTTTTCTCTAAAACGGCTCTAGCGATTTTTATTAAACTCGGTGTATTATTGTAAATT